CGCTTTAATCCCGCGGCACTGCGGCCTTGACGGGAAAGTTCTTGACAGGCTCTTCCAGTACCCTGAGTCTCGGGCAGTGGCCTGCTCCCACCGGCTGATTGGCTGCCTCTGATTCCGCCCACCTCCTATTCCGCCACAGAGCAGCATTACTGCAAGCCCGAGAATCTAATTGGTTAAGTAGCGCAAGAAGATCACTGCGCTGTTAGCTAATGAAATCCGCAGCCGGGCTCCGCCTGTAATTCAATTGTTTTCCTCATTCTGGAGCTTGAGATTGGCGGCAGCCTGTCCTGTCATCAGGTATTAGAAAGTGGTCGGGTCAAGGCAGGCTTACTGTAAAGGAAGCCCAAAATAAACCTGGCTTCCCACATCCTCTTCCTGCTCCTCGTGTGCTATTTCCTCTAAAGGATTAGCCCGTTTCTAGGTAGTCAACGGTTTGTTGGCTTAAAGAGCTATACAGTGCAGAGCCTGAACAGGGTAAACCAGCTTAGTGTCTTAGCTGCTGCTCTGCCTATGTTGTGCAGCCTTGGTTAGCATTCCAGTATGTGCCTAGCTGTGTGGGTTAGCATTACAGTCTGATGTGCTGCGTGGGTTAGCATAACAACCTGTGCTCTGCTGTGTTGGTTAGCATTCCAGTCTCTGCTGTGTTGTTGGTTAACATTCTAGTGCTGTGCTGGTTAGCATATTAGCCTGTGCTTAACTGCATGGGTTAACATTCCGGTGTGTGCTGTGCTGTGTTGGTTAGAATTACAGGCTGTGTTCTGCTGTGCTGGTTTGCATTACAGGCTGTGTTCTGCTGTGCTGTTAGCATTAAAGCCTGTGCTCTGCTTATGATGTGGGGTTGCATCTGCTGACGGCTAAACTCCCCTCCCCCAGTCCAGCCTGCGAGGCCTGATCCGGACCATAAACCTCACTGCTGTCTGTGTTCCTGTCCCGTTTCTGTGTAGCAAAGCTTTGCGTCCATTGATGCGCTTCTCAGCTAATGAGTCTCCCCCCCAGCCCCCCATTCAAAGCCTGCGGGCCCGGCTCATGCGGCAAATACCCCAGCAGCACTGCCCCTGACCCCCGCCCTCTGTCTCTGCCCCTCCACAGAGATCATCCATCAGTTCATCCTGGAGCAGCAGAAGGGTAACAGAGTGCCTCTGTGCATCAACCCACAGTCTGCAGCCTTCAAGAGCTTCATCAGGTATGGAGGGGACATGTAGGGGCCATCTATGGTAACTATAAAATGCCAAAAACTCACACACCCCCTCCCCGTCCTCTGCCCAGCTCCACGGTGGCCCAGCCGTCAGAGATGCCCCCGTCCCCCTTGGTGTGGGAGTAGCTCTGGTGGATGTCCAGCACACCTCTCCCACGCGCCCGACTACTGAGGAACTAGGAGTCCGAAAACCTACGTAGCATTTCACTGGAGTCTAGGACTAGCTGTGTCGATAGTGTGTACTGTAACCTTAACTAATGAAGTTTTCAAAGAATCAACCACTGCTGTGTGCGGGCAGGGCCGGGGCCCGGGGCCCCCGGCGGGGCCATATGCACGCGCGTGCACTCGGACGTCCGGGCTGGCGCTGGGCCGTGGCGGCGGTGCCAATCACGTGCCCGCGTGGTCAGCAGCAGAAGTGGGCAACCGCCGGGGTCTCAGAATGTACCGGCAAGGGCGGGGCTGGGAGGCGATGCTCACGTGGCCCCCGGCAAGGAGGCGTGGAACACAATACCCAACCACCCCCCCCCCCCCCCATGATGCTTAATAG